TAGGACTTTTGAGAGGTTTTAGAAGAAATTTTAGGACTTAGAGTTTTAAATGGAAAAGTCTGATTGCGTAAATTATGGCTTTAAAAAGTTTATTTTCTTAAAAAGTCTTCAGTGAGACTTTTAAATTAAAAAGTCTGATGGGGTGTAAATCTGATGAATTTGGAATGTCTCCGAAAATGTCTATTCTCGAAAATATCTTACTGCAAAAAAAAGACACAATTACGGTGACTTAATATATTAACCTTTGTGTTAAAATGCAGTGACTCCGAACTTGTAGAAGAGATTGTTGCGGATGTGCGTCAAAAGCTTGATGATAATACAAGTAAAATAGGAGTCTACTCCAAATTGATGAAGATAGAAAACTTGTTTTCCAAGCAACCTAGGGGAATTCGTAGCTTAGGGATTTGGGGTATGGGTGGCATAGGGAAGACGACACTTGCTAAAGCAGCTTTCGAACAACTACTCTCAGGCAATGACTTTGAAGCTTCTTGCTTCATCAACGACTTCGACAATGCCTTTCAAGAGAAGGGCGTCTACGGATTATTGGAGGAACACTTAGGGAAAAAGCTTGGCTTGCGTGGTCACGTTACAAGAGAGAATTTACGCAATAAAAGAGTTCTTCTTGTTCTCGATGATGTGGACAAGCCGCTTGGTGCAACGACTTTTCTTCGCTCGTTTGACTTGCTTGGTTCCGGAAGCTTGATAATCATAACCTCCAGAGATAAGCAATTACTTGTGCAATGTAGGGTCAATGGAATTTATGAGGTCCAAGGCTTAAACGACCACGAGGCTCTGCAGCTATTCTCTCAATGTGCATTTGGAAAAGATACAATAGATTCGAATCTTTTGAAGCTGTCTATGGATTTGGTTGCCTACGCTAATGGAAACCCGTTAGCTCTAAGAATTTATGGTAGAGAATTGAAGGGCAAAACACCATCCGAAATGGAGAATGCAGTTCGCAAAATCGAGCAACATCTTTCCAACGAGATTTTCGATACATTCAAAAACAGTTATGAGGCACTTAGTGACCACGAGAAGGAAATCTTTCTGGTCATTGTGTTTTCCTTTAGGGGAGAAAATGTCGACAACGTGAAGCAATTTCTTTCAAGTTGTGGATTCTTTCCTCATGTTGGAATCGATGTTCTTGTGGACAAAAGCTTCGTGGTTGTTTCAGAAAATAGAGTGGAAATGCATAATTTGATTTATGGCATGGGCCTCAAAATCATCAAGGATCAAAAAGAAGAGATCGAGATGGGTTATAGATTCTTGGAGGCTTCCAACATTCAATCTCTCCTACAAGAGAATGAAATCGAAGAAATTGGAGAACCCAAAGCAGCGCCAAAATCGGTAATATTGGTTAGTCACATTCTAATCATTCTTTAAAAGAACTTGCAGTTTTTTTCGAATTTAAGCAACCAAACTTTTTGATATAATTAACC